AAAAAAGCCGGGCTCGGTGGCTCAAGCCTGTAATCCCAGCACTTTGGGAGGCCAAGGCGAGAGGATTGCTTGAGCCCAGGGGTTCAAGACCAGCCCGGGCAACTTGGCGAGAGCTCGTCCCTACAATAAATCGCAAAAGCTAGCCGGGCATGGTAGCGCACGCCTAAAGTTCCAGCTACTTGGAAGGCTGAGAGAGGATTGCCTGAGCCCAGCTGGTGGAGACTGTGGTGGCCATGAATGTGCCACTATACTCCAGCCTGAGCGACAGAGTAAGACTTCAATTCCAAAAAAAAAAAAAAAGAAAGTTGACTGTTTTTGCCTTTGGGTAAAACAGACTGGTTTTGCCCAGTCTGCTGAAGGAGATAAGACCATCCCTATACATAAATACATCAATAGCGATTTAGGTAAAACTCTACAGGGTGTTGGGGGAGATGCTGGAGGAAACAGGAAGTTTAAGGAAGTCATCCTGGAAGATGCGAGTTTATAGTAGGGTTTAGAAGGCAAGAAGGCAAGTAGAAAGCAGAAATGCCATGGAAGGCCTTTTCACACATACTATGACCTATTAAACCCAAGTCAGGAAGAAGTGAAGTGTTTATAAGTATACTAAGAGTTTTGGGGAGAGGGATGCTCTTGGAACTTGGGCTGTTGAAATTTGGGAAGGATGATAAGGTGGAGAATGGAGAGAGTTAAAACATGAATGAATACAACTCATTCCTCAGGAATGAGCAGGGGCCTTGAAAATCAAACCCAAGATCTGTTTAGTGCAGTAAATAAGTCATTCCAAGATGGGGAGAAGTTAGGACATGGTAATGATGGAAGGGTTTCTGAAGCTTGTCCTAGGAAACGTGGATTATGTCCAGGTGCACGTGGGGCTGTGGCGTTTCTTCTTCTTTTTTTTAATAATTTTTTTTTAATCGATAGATAACTGTATTTTTTTTTAGCCTTTAATTTTTTTATTTTGAAGATGTGGGGTACAATTCAAGGTTAGGTATACAAATGTTCATTATGCAGGTACCCTGGCTGTGGAGTTTCTAAGCAAAGAGAGGCCGTAGGCCCCAAAGATACTGCTGTAGCCTGAAGACTGACAAGTGGTTTCTTTCCAGAAAGCTATGAGGGACCCTGTGAGTAGCCAGTACAGCTCCTTTCTTTTCTGGAGGATGCCCATCCCAGAACTGGATCTGTCGGAGCTGGAAGGCCTGGGTCTGTCAGACACGTCCACCTACAAGATGAAGGACAGCAGCGTTAGCAAAATGACCGGGCAAGCCACTGGAGCAGAGCGAGAGAAAAGCCCTGAAGCTGATGCCCTCCTTGAGTACAGCACCTTCAACTTCTGGAGAGCTCCCATCGCCAGCATCCACTCCTTCGAACTGGACTTGCTCTGAGGCCAAGACTTCTCTCCCCCTTCTTGCCCTGTCTTCCCTTTCAAGCCCCTTCCTTCCCACCCCTTTCGCATTTTAATCTTGTTCTCTCTCCTCTATTGTGTTGGTGGTGCTGATGAATCTGCCAGAGTTGAGTTGTATTTATTTATTTATGTATTTATTTATCTATTTACTCCATTTCTCTCAAGAACCCTCAAGCTACAAAGTAAAGGGTTCAAGCAATGGAGTATTGGGTCACAGGGATTTCTCCTTTTCCCTCCAAAAATTAATTCCAGAAACTAGGCCTGATGGGGACATCAGAGAGTAGTGCAGTGGTGCAAAACGGAAGACTAATTTTTTTACTCCATTTTAATCAGCTTCAGAGATGACTCAGACCTTCCTAATTTCCTGCTCTAGGCCTATAAACACAACTATTTTGTCAAGGGTTAATGAAAACCTTGGAAGTTTGAGATTATCTGCTATAAAACAGGAGGACTCCTAAAAAGCTAAGAAGATAAGTTTCTTGCTTTTTTGATCCTGCTGCTTCTTTATCTCGAGAAAGTGGGGGTAGCTAAAGGTATAAAACAAGAGGAAATAACACATTATGGCAAGTGAAACTTGAGAAAAACATTGAATCATTTCAGACACAGCTAATCTCTTTTTCTCAAAAGGGTGTTCCTTCTTCAAGGCCACTCACTTTACAACTTTGCTCCTGTGGGTTGAAGTTAGATATATCTTAAAATATATTCTTGCTATTATGATTTGTAAGGCTTTGATTCAGTCTTTTAAAAGGCATAGGGTTTGGTCCCTAGTATTTGTCTTGTTCTCCTGTATTTGCAACGTATGGTACTGATCAATGGGCCTTAGACAAGCTACTAATTGAGACCATGAGATAAATAATTCTGACCCTATGTCTTGACCCCACTCCTTCCAAAATTTTGCTGATTTGTGCTGCCATTTACTCATTGAATAAAGACAGTCAATCCCAGGAATGGATTCCAGTTGTCTCTCTCTTCACAGGAAAGCAATATAGATCTCAGAAATTAGCCTTGCCTTCACATTCAGTTTATACATTTTATCTTTCTTTCTTTTTTTTTTTTTTTTTGAGTTGGAGTCTCACTCTGTCGCCCAGACTGGAGTGCAGTGGCCGTTGACTCATCCTAGACCTGCTGGGCTCCGGCGATCCTTCCGCCTCCGCCTTCCAAGTAGCTGGAACTACAGGCACGCGCTACCACACCCGGCTAATTTTTTTGATTTATTGTAGAGATGAGGTCTTGCCAAGTTGCCCAGGCGGGTCTCGAACCCACGGACTCAGGAAATTCACTCACCTTGGCCTCCCAAAGCGCGGGATTACAGGCTGAGCCACCGAGCCTGGCCATACATTTTATCTTTCTAATATTCAACTTTGAGGAAGAATTTTTTGAGTCTGGGTCTCACTCTATTGCCCAAGGTGGAGTGCAATGTCATGATCACTGTTCGCAGCCTCAACCTCCTGGGCTCGGGCAGTCCTTTGGCCTCAGCCTCCTGAGTAGCTGGAGCTAGAGGCACTTGCCACCATGCCCAGCTAATTTTTTTTTTTTTGAGTTGGAGTCTCACTCTGTCACCCAGACTGGAGTGCAGTGGCTGCTCCCGGCTCCCGCAGCCTCGACCTGCTGGGCTCCGGCGATCCTTCCGCCTCAGCCTTCCAAGTAGCTGGAACTACAGGCTCGCACTACCACACCCAGCTAATTTTTGATTTATTGTAGAGATGAGGTCTTGCCAAGTTGCCCAGGCGGGTCTCGAACCCACGGGCTCAGGCAACCCACTCACCTCAGCTTCCCATAGCGCGGGATTACAGGCTGAGCCACCAAGCCCAGCTCCCAGCTAATATTTAACTTTTTTTTTTTGTAGAGATGAGATCTTACTATGTTGCTGCCCAGGCTGGTCTTAAACTCCCGGACTCAAGCAATCTTCCCAAATTGCTGGGATTACAGATGCCTGGCTGAGGAAGAATGATTTGAATAGCACTTATACATTAAATGTGAACCTCAGGTTGAACAATAACACGGAAAGGGGTGAAATCAACTTAAAATTAGGTAGTTGGGGAGAAAGCTACACCACTCTTCTGCTTGCCCGTTATATTTCAGGCAATAATTCTGCTAGGTGACTAAGAAACTGATGTTATCCGCTTATGTGTAACACCTCATTCCAAAAAACTATTTGAAACTAACTTGCATTTTCGTGTGCCTAGTATATGAAAGGCACTGAGCCACACAAAGGACGTACACAGGAATGAGACAAGATTCTGATTCTCACATTTAAAAGGGAAGCCGTAAGCAACAATGTGGGTAGTGTTGGTCTGTGTGCTGTAAATACTTTAAAGATGGCACCATGTTGGCTCTAGAGTTCAGAGGAGGGAGGAAAGGTAAAAACCTCCTCCCAGGCCTTGCATGGTGCACCACCTAAAGATGGTCAAAGTCTAATAAACAACGGACCAGGAAGGATAAGTGATGTGTCCTTTTCTATTTTTACTGGCTTCTCAAGGGTTTCTTCCCTGACTTTTCGGAGGCCTTTAGTCATAGCAACTGATGGGCGGAGACGTGGGTCAACCGGTAAATAAAGTGACTTAAAGGGTTTGCAAACGCATGCTCCATCCTCTTCCAGGCTCCCAAAAAGAAATGACTCAGTTATTTGTTCCACCGTCCGCGCCGACAGCTTGGCTCTGGGGCCCTTACTGCATCCAGGCTGTAACTGGAAATATGTGCCCGTCGGGCTCCAGAGCCCAATTCACGAGCAAAGCCAGGAACGTCCCAAGCAGCTTCACCCGAGGTTGAGACGAAAAAGCGAGGCTGTCCCGTCAACCCTAAGCCTGGCCCCCCGGAGCAGCCGAGAGGTAGGACGCAAACTCCAGGCCCGATGCATCATCTGACTCCCCCGGAGAGGCTCGCCGGGTTCTTGGCGCCCACACAGCCGTCGGGGTCCGTCCCCTGCTGGAACTTTAAGACACGTGGGCCGCGTAACCAAGAGTCCTCCGCCCCGTTAAGTAGTCCTGCCTCGGGTGTCTCCGACACGCACTTTCCCACCGCGAAAGCCCTTCAGCAGAGGGGAAGCGAGCCCCGGCCGGGCAGCCCCTTTCTGCTCGGATGGAAGGCTGTGTCCTGTGATCACGTTGCCCGCACAGATCCCTCCGCCGGCACGCTGACTCGCGGCGCCTTCACTTCCGGGTCCGCCATTTTGTTGCCTCCATTTCTCCACGAGGGGGGGTTAAAGGCCCCCAAAACATGCATCCGTGCAAAGGCCAAAAAGTAACCGTCACTGACAGGGAGTCTTAACTAGAGAAGGAAACGGGACTAAACTGGCGGGCTCGGCGGAAGCGCAGCCGGCAGCGTCCCGGACGAGGAGGTGAGGGGGAAGAAGAGATGCGTGGACTTGGGGGCGTCAGGGCTGGCGCGGAAAGCGCCGTGACAAGTCGCGCCGCTGCCCAGCCCGGCCCCGGACTCCTGGGTGCGGACCGAGCAGAGCCCCCTCACCGAAGCGGGGCGGCGGGGGGAGGGGGACGAGAGGAAGGGGATGCTGTCGGGAGGAAGGGGAGGGGACTGGAAGGAGGTGAAGAAGGGGGTGGGTGTAAGACCTGGGGCTGGGGAGCTGGACCGAGGGAAGCCCAGGCCGCAGAGGTGACCGCCAGGGGGCGGCGCGGAGCCGGGGCCGAGGCTGAGACCCCCGCACGGGCTCCCGGCTTTCGGAAGGGCACAACGCTGGTGTGAGGACCTGGAGGATTTGTGCTGGAGGGAGACACGGGGACTGCCATTCTCTGACCCCAACGATCTCAGGATCGTTAGTGAACTCAGGAGCCGGAACCGGAGCAGAAGGGGCCCCGCCTCCGGTTCTTGCACAGTTGTTTGTACAGCTGGCCGCCCAGTGGGGACTTGTGCAATCCAGAAAGAACCGTGGATTCTTCAGTTGCATCCTCCTTCCCGTTGGCCTTCTCCTCCTCTTACAAATTCCTTTGGCTCAGAGGTCATTCCGTTCCTCTCCCTCTTCCCGGAACGTACACACTCTCTTCTCTCCTGTCTCTCTCTCTCTCTGTCTCCTCTCACGTCTTTGGAAGAGGACTGTGTATGGCTTATCTTCAACGATTTAACTACACTTTTGGCCATCAGGGGCCATACTGTCATCTGGCCACTTGATCCACCCAGTCGAGCAGAGATGTTCTTAAGCATCTGTCTTCATACTTGCTTTGATCACAATGAGGAGAAAACTGCCCCGCCCAAATTCTTATAGAAACAAAAGTAATTACTCTTTGAAAATAGAGTACTTTATTGTCAAGAGCTCAAGCACTTCGTAAATTATTAAAACACACTTCTATAATCCCAGCACTTTGGGAGGCCGAGGTGAGAGGATTGTCTGAGCCCACGGGTTTGAGACCAACCTGGGCAACTTGTCTAGACCTCGTTTCTACAATAAATCAAAAAATTAGCCGGACGTGGTGGCACATGCCTGTAGTTGCAGCTACTTGGAAGGCTAAGGCAGAAGGATCGTCTGAGCCCAGCAGGTTGAGGTTGTGGTGGCTGTGAACGGGCCACTGCATTCCATCCACAGAATGAGATTCCAACTCAAAACAAACACACACACACACACATATACACACATACTTATTGAAAGTTTTTGTGTGTTTGTTTGGGAGGGAGAGTGGGTGCTTTGTTTTCTTTTTCATTTTTTTAAATTTTGAGTCAGAGTCTCACTCTGTTGCCCAGGCTGGAGTGCAGTGGCATGATTCAGGGCTTACTGCAGTCTTGACTTCCTGGACTCAGGTGATCCACCTCAGTCTCCCGAGAAACTGAGACTACAGATGCACACCACCACGCCAGGCTAATTTTTTTTTTTTTTTTTTTT